CCTTAGTTTCCCATTTGAGGTTCAAAATAATGATTGAATAAATCATTATTTTCAATCTTAAATTGTCCAAGTTGGACAATTTGTGAACAAAGTTATTCATTCAGTGGTTAGCAAATGTTGTTAGATAATGTTATATTTAATACTTAACAAAAGTTTTGTTTAATGCATTTGTCATTGTCTCTTGGTGTGTGCTTGATTGAGGCAAATCATCTCATTTCAAGTTGTGTACTAAGAGACTAATGCGAAATGCTGCCAAAATTTTGTCAAGTATAAAATAACACATTTAAGCAGCAATTGTTAATTAAGGTCTGAAAAACTTTGTTTTCAAATGGGATAGAGCCCTACCATGTGAGACTTAATAAGACATTCACATTTGCTTTGGCATAACCGTAGTTAGAGCAAATATGGACCGAAGTTGAATGGTTGCTGATCGTTTGAGTGAAGAATATGAAAATAAAGTGAAGGAGTTTATTAGATTTGCGATTAAGCATGCAACTGATGTTAACCTTATCCCGTGTCCTTGTTAGTATTGTTTGAATATGATGCAAGAATTGGAAGAACATCTAATGTGCAATGGGATTGATGAAAAATATACCTATTGGACAAAGCACAGTGAGATACAAGGTGGAAGTACATCACATCACATGGAATCGAGTCTCTATCACTCAAAGACATTAAGAATAGATGAGAGTGATCATGTTGAAGACATTCCAAATGTTGTTGAAGAAAATCTTAGAGATTGTCCAAAGATGTTTGAGAGGCTAAAAGATGATGCGAAAATACCATTGTACAATGGATGAAGAAAGTTCACGAGATTAAGTTATGTGTTAAAGCTTTATAACCTCAAAGCAATGAATGGATGGACTGATAAAAGCTTCACAAAGTTACTAGCTTTATTAAATGAGATGCTACTAGAGGATAATGTGCTACCTACGAGAATATATGATGCTAAACAAGTACTTGCTTCTATTAGATTGACCCGTGAGAAGATACATGCTTGTCCTAATGATTGCATTTTGTTTCGAAAAGAGTATGCATAGCTAAGCCAATGTCCAAAGTCTAATGAGTCACGTTACATAAAGAAAGAATCTACACCTGCAAAGGTCATGTGGTATTTTCCAGTAATTCCCAGATTAAGGCACTTATTTCGCACTGCATAAAATGCAAAGCAAATGACTTAACATGCTGAAGGAAAAATTAGAGATGAGAAGCTTAGGCATCTAGCAGGTTCTCCTCAGTGGAAAAATTTGATGATGAATATGAAGACTTTGTAGCATAAACAAGGAATATATGCTTTGCTTTGGCAATCGATGAAATGAACCCTTATGGCATGCAAAGTAGTACCTATAGTACATGGCCTGTGATTTTATTAATATATAACTTGCCTCCATGGTATTGCATGAAGCATAAATATATGATGCTTTCTTTGCTAATCTTTGGTCCTAGACAACCTGGAAATGACATTGATGTTTACTTGTCTCCTCTAATTGAAGATTTGAAGCAGTTGTGGGAAATCGGCATTGAAGTATATGATGGGTTTAGAGATGAATCTTTCACTCTTAAGGCAATGTTGTATGGTACAATTAATGATTTTCCTGTTTATAGAAATCTTTCTGGTTATAGCATAAAGGGTCAATGTGCATGTCCAATGTGTTCTGAAAATACAGATTATATCAGACTTGAACATTGTCACAAGAATGTTTTCATGGGGCATCGTAGGTGGCTGACACGACAATGTCTACATTCAAAAAGTGGAAAACAAATTTTTGAAGAGGTTAAAGTCATCAAAACAACTTTTGGGAAACCATTTGCCAAAGAAATTTCAAGTAGAGGTTGGAAGAAGATGTCAATTTTCTTTGAGTTACCCTATTGGAAATCATTACACGTAAGACACTTTGTTGATGTTATGCATATTGAGAAAAATGTATGTGAAAGTGTTGTTGGTACGTTATTGAACATTGAAGGAAAAAAAAGGATGGTATATATGCAAGGCTTGACACGGTAAAGATGGGAATTAGATCTGATTTGGCACTAGTGAAGAAGGAAAAACGCACATTTTTACCACCAACAGCATGCACCCTTTCTAGAAATGAGAAACATGCATTTTGTGAGGCTTTTTATTCAGTTAAGGTTCCTAAGGAGTATTCATCAAACATCAAAAGTCTTGTTTCATTGAAGGACCTCTAGTTAAAAGGGTTAAAGTCTCATGATTGTCACATCTTAATGGAGAATTTGATTCCTATTGCTATACGGTTTATTTTACCAAAAAAGGTTCGCGTGTAATAACGAAGCTGTGTTTTTTCTTCAAGGTAATATGTAGCAAAGTGATTGATCATGCCAGATTACTAGCATTGCAAAACCACATCTCTGAAACTTTATGTGAGCTTGAAATGTATTTTCTACCTTCATTCTTTGATATCATGGTTCATTTGACCATTCACTTGGTTGAAGAGACAAAATTGTGTGGTCCAGCATATATGCAATGGACGTATCCCGTTGAACGATATATAAAGATTTTAAAAGGGTATGTAAAGAATAGAAGCCGACTAGAGGAATGCATTGCTGAATGATAGAAGCTGTTGAATTTTGCAATGAATACATGTCAAATATAGAATCAATTGGTCTTCTAAAATGCCATCACACAGGAAAGATGGATGGAAAAGGTAGCACTAGTTGTCAACAAATAGAGGTTCCAAGAGTACAACAGGATCAAACACACTTATATGTCTTACAAAACACCCTTGAAATTAAACCTTTTATAATAATGCACAAAGAAATATTAAAGGGTGCAAATCCAAACAGAGGTGAGAATTGGATTACAAAAGAACATAACTAGAGATTCATTCCATGGCTACAAGAGTATGTTTATGAGCACGTGATTGATAATGACAATTCTGCTACAGAGAAGATTCGATGGTTATCAAAAGGTCCTTGCGTTAATGCTTTTTCATATACTTCTTACTTGATGAACTAGTTTACCTTTTATACAAAAGAGCATGACAAATAGAGTACTGTGCAAAATAGTGGAGTCACACTTATTGCTAAATCGCTTCATATATCAAGTGCAAAGGATAGAACCCCATATATGCCAACATGTCATACTTTGGGGGTAATTGAACACATATGGGAATTGGATTACACAAAGTTTCGAGTAGCAGTGTTTGGATACAGGTGGGTTGACAATAACAGTGGGGTTCGTATTGACGATTTAGGCTTTATAAGGGTCAATTTTAAAAGGGTGGGATATCAAAATGATTCATTTATCCTTGCATCATAAGCACAACAAGTGTTCTACATCCCTAATCCTATTGACAAGTCATCGAATATTGTGTTATTGTCTAATAAGTTTAATTCTTTAACTGATGGTGAACTAATGGATGAAGAAGTTAATGTGGAGGACGAACCATTAAGATGTGTACAACAAATGTCAATGAGGGATATGATGGAGACCTTTATGCAAGACATGATCATGAAGAGGGTATTTAGTTAAATCCATCATTTCATTCCATTAAAGGCCATAGGAAACTTATTAAGGTCCTTAAGAAAAGAAAAAGGTTAATACACATATCAATTTAAACATAATTTTAAAACTTTTTATTTTACAAGTTTACTATTGATTGACTGGTTTATACTAACATAAGTCCATTATGTAGAGATGACATTTTCTGATAATATTGAAGAGGTTCTCCTTCTAAGTCCCAAAAATTAAAGATGAAGAACACTCGAGGAATAACAAAATTGAAGGGAATTAGCAAGGTAAGAAAGTTAGGACAAAAGTTACAGGTATTTGTTGAATTCACAAATGCTTTTATGTGTATTTTAAGTTTATATTATTAATTTCAATAAGTGTCATAACTTTAATTACATTTTGCAGGTTGGATGGAATTCTAAAGGACAACCCATTGACCCTAATAGATCTAAATTCTCCCATTTTATTGGATTTGTTACTAGAAGTACAGTGCCAATTAGTATATGTGATTGGACAAATGTTCCTACTAATCTGAAAGACCATATTTGGGAGCTAGTAGAGGTAAACTACAATTCTTTCTCTAAGTATAGTATTGTATATAATATATGTTGGATTTATATGATGTGCGAATTTGCCTTTCATTGTAGCAAACCTTTGAAGTGCAAGAAATGCACAAAGACTTTATACTTGCATTAGCTGGACGTGATCTTCGTGCATTTCGTACACGGATTCATTACTATCACTGATCACTGGAACGAGTTTATAAAGCAAAGTTGCACAGAAGAGTTTAAGGTAATATAAATACACTTTTATTATATACAATTATTATATACAATCCTGATTTGTTTTTTTTTTCTTTTTGAAAAACAAAATTTAGAAAGAAAGTGAGGCCAATGCTGTTAGGACAAAAGGAATGTCGTATAGATATAGGTCAGCTAAGGGATATGCTTAGTTGGAGCAGGATTTGGTACTATTTCTATTTTAGGATATGAAGTTATCAAAAGGTTTTTGTCTTTTGTAATCATATGTTCAAGATATATTATTAATGTTCGTCTTTGTGTAGCTTGCTTCCTCTAGGTCTAATGTGACCTTTGTACCTCGACATGTCTTATGGAAGGCTGTTAGGCTTAATAAACAAGGTGGTATTGATGATGAAGGAGTTCAAAAAATGGTTGCCGAATTTGTAAGTAGAAATAACAACATAAGTACACTTTGGGTACTTGTCCTTCTATTTGAACATTGCAAAATTATACTCATCATATTTGTTTTGTTTGTTATAGGAAACTCTTTCACAGGTGCGTGTAGAAGTTGAGTTAGAATCAACGGCCAGAAACAACATATTGGGTCAAGCTATTGGTGTAAGAGAGCATCCTGGTCGTGTAAGAGATTGGAGTAACCCAAAAGACTGCATTTGGCCCAACAACATTAAATCCACAGCCATCATCTACTGAGCGGCAGAACATGAAGCATTGGATAGTGCATTTGACAAGTGTTGTGGCACAGTTGATAGGGGGTCAAGGACTGCCCCTTTTTATGTCTGGTCACCATTAAGTGATGGAGGGAGGTCACCATCCGCAGCTAGAATTGCCATGTAACAGCCAAAGAGGCAGTTGTACACCAGTTGCATCTGTAGAAGTTTCAGAGGTACAATTGGATTACGAAATTAATTGACTTTTAATTTCATTGTTAATGACGTACGATTAAATTTTGATGTTATTACATGTGCATGTATTTATTATAGGGTGATCACGACTGCATGCTGTATTTGAGCATCCTATATCGCGTGGTTGCAAGAAGGAGAAATACAGCATGCAGTTACACATGAACCACTAAAAGAACTAAACTTTAGAGAGCAGTTCATGAATGAATCGCTCTATTAGGCTTTAGAGAGCGGTTTGTAATAGACCGCTCTCAGATAATGACTTTGGAGTGCGATTACTTGGAACTGCTCTAAGAAATCTTGACATTAGAGAGCAGTTGGCTGATTAACCGCTCTCTTTTCTTGCCCTTATAGAGCGGTTAGGCGAGGAACCACTTTCCAAGGTTAACATTTAGAAAGCGGTTAGGCAGGGAACCGCTCTCCAATCTATTCAAGTCTTAGAGCGGCTTGACCTTTAACCGCTCTCTAAACTACCATTTAGAGAGCGGTTGAGGGCGGAACTGCTCTCCAAGGATTAACATATGAGAGCGTTTAAATAACCGCTCTCTTAAATGTAAGGACATTGGATAGCACGTGATTTTAGAGCACCAATAACCGCTTTTAGGTCTCATTTTTGGCGTAGTATGTGTAAAGTGGATACTGAAATATTTGAAGGACACTTCAAGAATGTGTTTGTGCTTTGGCAAAAGCAATATCACTTTACAGGGATAAAAAAAGCATAACATGTTACATTTTTACCTTAGGTGACTCTGCTGTGAGTTGGAAGTCTAAACTTTGAAGTAGAGTTTCTCTCTTAACCATTAAAGCTGAGTATGTGACTATCTCATAAGTACTCAAAGAGATGTTATGTCTAAGGAATTTTTTCAAAGAATTAGAAAAAAGAAGAAGATGATTTTCCATTATTTAATGATAGTCAGAGTGCTATATGTCTTGATAAAAATTCAATCTTCTATTCTAGATGCAAGCATATTAATATGAAATATCATTTTATAAGAGAACTAATAAATTTTTAATTATTTATTGTCATTTTAACATTGAGATTTAAATTATGTACATACTATTGAAAATATTGATATTATAATATTAACATTTTATATTTTAATTATGTAATTATTAAAAAAAATTTGAAATTAAAATTAAATTTATATGCTTTTAATTTTTTGAAGTATTTAATCATAGGATTTATAGTTCATTCTCTAGTTATAAGTTAAATTATACCTAAAATGTAAAGTAAGATAAATATATATTTTTGTATGAATATAATTATTTATGATATCATATTCTTAAAATTAATATTAATTTAAAAGTTTAAAATTTATTTTAAAATAGAATAATTAATTAGTAGTATACATTTACCTATTATAAGTCAAATTTAAATATGTTATTTTAAAATTATTAATTAATAATTTTATACATAATTATAATACTAAAACTCATTATTTATTAAAAAATATTTTTTTGTTATATTTCTACTCATTGGTATATATATATATATATATATATATATATATATTTATGTATTTTTATATTTATTTTAAAATATTTAATAACAATAATAATATAATAGATTTACATTATTTATATTTAAAAATAATTAATTTTTTTTACTGTTTATTTTTTATTTTCATGTTCTCTTTAATTTATTTTAAAAAAATTATTTTAATGTTTACATCAACTAAAAGAATAACAATTTTTATTGTTGAAAAGGATGAAAAATATATAAAATATACAAAAAATTTATATATAAAAACGTGTTTATCATATTGTTTAATATAATAAAATTTTATTATTATATATTTTTGTATTTAAATTATATTTTTGTTTATTTTAAAATAAATTAATTTAATAAAAATAGAAACAAGTTTGTATAACACATAAATATATTTACTAATTTATAATTAAATTATTATTATTAAGATTTAGAATGTTTAAATTCAATTATAAATTGAATTTAACTGTTACATTTATTTTTTTATACATAATTTATTTTAAAAAGTAATCAATATTTTTATTTTTTATTTTTCTATCATATTAAAATAATTATTATTTGAATTATAATTAATTATTCTAAATTAAATTAACTAATAAAAAATATAAATATATAAATGCAATATATTTACTAATAGAATAGAAGATCAAAGTAATTCTTGAAAAACAAAAGAAAGGTGGGTAAATCCATCGAATCTAAAAGCTTGAGAAATCACATAGAACAAGTAATTCCAGCTGGAATTAAGAGTAAAAGTGTACATTGTAATTAATCATGAGGTGCATTTAAGAAAATAGCATATTAATGCATATTGAAATTCTCAAAACAACCTGTTTCCTGGTCAACAAAATCTATAATCCTCATGGCCATTAAAATAATGACCTCAAAATATTTCATTGACATGCCAATCTAGAACACAGAATCTAACATAGGGATGCAAATGCATACTTTAATTGACATGCCAGCCAATAAAACTTATGTATCTCACATGGTATTTATAAATTGGTGTGCCCCTAATGTTCTGAGACTATTATAATCTTCAAAAGAATCCAAGAAATTTGTTACAAACATCCGTCTGATTTGCATTGGTTATATTGGTCGGTGTGGGGACCAACTGCTCAATTATTCTTTGCGTTTTGGTTTCTCTCCTTCCAGTCCCACTCAGGAATCCACGTACTGCCCATGCACTTTCATCCAAATCTTGGATTTCTTGTTTCTCTTTCATAAATAAATAACAAACCCTTCTTCTTTCACTAACCATTTTCATTATTTGGGGTTATATTCTATGTGAAAGTGCTAAATGAAAGCTTGCAAAACAACAAAAATGTAGGGGAGCTACAAGGAAGAAAGTTATATAAATTATACCTTCCTAGTTTTTATATAACTCTTTTCACCTAGACAAAAGAGAACCAAACATGGAACGTACCAAGTGCCTTTTATATCTATTAAGCTGGAGCATCCACTCTCATTCTAGTTGATAGTCTTATGTCCTACATTCAAAAAATTCTATCACCAACATTCATTCATTAATTTGCTCCTTTTGGTTCCACGGCTTCAAATCTTAATTCTTTAGATATTACCTTCAAATTGTGGGGGAATACCATCTCCATATATTCCTCATTACTTTTCACTATAAGGGTGGAAAGTAATACATTTGATGGATCTTCCTATAATAAAAAATTTTCTAATCTGAAGATTCAATGATCATGGTACATTCTTACTTAAAGAACCAGAGTGAAGTATAGCTGTATGTCAGCTTTCCCCTATTTTGCTCCTCGAGAATAATTGAGGGGAAGAAGATTGATAATCCAAGTCAAACGTAGTTAGATATGTTTCCAACCAGCTTCAATTCGAATATTCTGTTTCACCTTTTCCTTTGTTAATTTCTAGACCCAGTTGGTTTGTTCCTCTTTTTGACATCAATTGGCTTTAGGGATGAAAAGTAATATTTGTTAATTAACAGTACAAATATTGAAAGAGATAAAATAACAGTTGTATTTTAAATCTGACTCTACCAACTTGATTAAATTCCCCAACACAGTCCAGTGCTATCCTTGTTAAGCATTTATTTAGTAAGAGCTTGTGATATGAGAGCTTCATAAGCTTAATATCGAAGCTTGCTTAATTAAAAAGAATTTATATCAATAAACTTTAATATAAAGTTTATTATATAAACTAAAAAAATTATAAAATCTTTTAAGTCACTTTCATTAACCCAAACGATTTATTTTTTTTAAATAGTCTAAATGATACTTTCATCATCAGTTATATATAAAAATAGGAGTGTATACAAGTTTATTTGGTTTGATTTTAAAGAAAAAATTGTGGGCGTGTGTATTTTAATTAATAAATAACTTTAATATAAAATTCATAATAACTGTTAAATTCAGAATATTAATTAAAATATATGTTCATATATATATATATATATATATATATATATATATATATATATATATGAACATAATAAACATACCTATTGATGCATTCTAAAGGACTAAGTTACCAATACACGGAAGCTTCATCACACAGCTTGCTTTCATGAATATATAATAAAGTTCTAGAAGTATATTTGTCTGCGCTAATACCGGGTAACAAGGTAAAGTACATATAATTGTTATGCAGCTATAGATATGAACTTCTCTAATCACAAAGTAGATCTCTAATATTTGAACTACATATCAAAAGATTACGAGAACAGAAAAAAAAAAGAAAAAAAAAAGGAGGACAAGACAATATATAGGAGAAACATATAATGGAAGCTTCCACTGGTGCTATGCTGCTAACTTTTGATCCGTTCATACTTATGTTTGCTTTGAAACCTGTAACCGAAATTCAATCATCTTAGTTACAAAAAGTTGAGTAGTAGTTTAGAAAAATTCTCCCAAAATTAGCTTGCTCACAACAACAACAACAACAATAGAAATAATAATACGAAAGAGGAATCAATTGCAGAAGAAAAAGATTGGTTAGAGTTAATAAGTAAAACGGACTCGTCGTTTATCTGCTTTTTCTTTTTTTATTTGGTCACTATATGCGGCTTCTCTACAATGGGATTATCCTTAGACTCATCATAATAATTAATTTTTACACTCAATAGACTTGACTAAAGTTAACTCCTTTAGCTAAGGTGGATAGTGACTGTATTTTGTATTTAAAATAATGTGTTATTCAAATTGATCATGTCAATCAATGCTTACATAAAAGAAACATCATGTGATACTACATATTTATGGTATACTTTTAAATGTATTTAGAGAAAAAATAAAAATATATAAAAGAAATAATATGATATATAAAATGTTATATATACAGGAGATTAGTTTTTAAAGATTTAAATAATAAAATTGTATTTGTATTCCATTCAATGAAAACATAGCTTATCCAGAAAAGAAATGTCAACGAAAATGGATAGCAATAAAGAAGCAAACAATTAATTTGGAGATATGCTAAGTGCTAACCAGAAAGTAGCTTTCACCATGCTGCAAGCTCTGCATCAAGAAGCCAAACTCATTGGTGGGAACTGACACTCCAGAGGAATGAACTAACATTACATCTTCACCAAACACTGTTTTGATGTCCATTGGGCCCCTTGGAACTTCTGTTGCAACCCCATTGATAAACACTGTGATGAATCCTGAAATCCCCCCAAATCCTATGCCCCCAAAATTAATAGAAACAAAAATTAGAATATCAAACATAATTGATCATACAAATCATTAAGCAAGATGCATATACAATGTCTAATAAGGAAAATACAAATTATAATGTAGACCAATGCAAACTTATTGTTTTTGAGAAATGCTTTTGTTGTGTCCTGAATTTTCTAGGCCAATTAAAGAAATAAACACAAAGTAAGCCATAGCATAATGTAGTGCAACACAAGGGGTGAATTGTAAAATAAAGGACATGATTAATATCGTATGTTCCTTTCAACGATTGTATACAAAAGGGATTGACCAGTATAATCAAATGAGAACACGGAAAATTAAAAAGTCTAGGGTTAGGAAATCTTGGTAAAGAGGTTTGGAAGAAATAAAAAAAAAAGAAAAAAGTGAGAGGATAAAAAGTGAGGAACAGAAACTGCAACTGGAAAGTGACCTCATGTTTTTCCTGAATGTACAATTTTCATGCACTTCAATCGCAGGAACTGTCAAATCAAGAAAAAGATTGCCACTTTATGCTATCACCCCCCCTAAACCTAATCAGCCGAAAAAGAAGAACTTTTACACACGAAAGGCATTAAACTAATAAATCACTTGAATAAAAACTTTAGATTCTAGCACTCATTTTGAGCCTCAACCTGGCCTTAAAAAGTGGTTTTGTCGTGACACCCCACCTCTGATGGAGAAATTATGTGAGAAAACTGTGGTTGGATATTGAAATAATAATGAAATAAAATAAAATAAAAAAACAAAATTGTAAATTTTTCCTTCAACCCAAAAGCTTAAAATCCTATGATTAAAAAAAAATGCATTTCAGTATCATTTCACAAGCTCAGATTGTTAATGTAAAATAAGTAAGGGTATCCTTATCCTCTCATTAATGCATTTTATTCAAACCGAAAAAAAGAAGGGATGCACACAAAAAACAGAAGCATGCAAATGATGCAATCAATTACCAGATTGGTAGTTCATATTTGGAGCATCAGAAGGATACAAAACTTGTGACGATGTAGCTGAAGCATGATGATCAATTTCAGGGAATTCCATTTGAGTAGAGGGTAGAAATAAACCACCCAACCCTTCTTCGCCGCCATTACCACCGCTACCACCGCCACATGAAGAAGAGGAACCAGAGACATAAGAGTTAGCAAAAGAGGAATTACTAACACCACCAAGACCCATGTTTGCAACAACAGAAGGGTTATTTTGATGATGATGATGATGAAATGGATTGTGATTTGCACCACCAACTTGATTAAGGGTCGCCTGAATCTGCCGTTGACGGCGGCGTGACCGCGAGCGGCGGTTTTGGAACCAATAGAACACATTGGCATCACCAACGGTTCCAAATTTCTCAAGTAGCTTCCTTATTCTAACGGTTTCATCTTTTGGGGGGTTCACCATGCCACTATTGAAGATGGATTCAAGTATGAGAATTTGTTCAGGCTTTGGAGTCCATCGAGACCTCACGGGTTCACTCTTCTCTGAGCTTTGTTGTTGGTTTGGACTATTATTTGGGTCTTGTTGTTGCTGTTGTTGCCCCTGGTGATCTTCCATTCCAATGTACAAGAAATAAAGAAAGTGTTTCTGAAGCTGATGATGAAACCTAGGTAAAATAATATTAAGAGATATCAATAAAGTACATGGAATACAGTAACAGTGGTTTTGGAGTTAAGAGGGTTTATATAAAGAGGTGGAGAATGTTGATTCGCGAAATTACGTGACTGCCCTTCATGGCTTCATCTTCTCATCTCCATGTTTTGCCCTTTTAGTTTAGCCTCAGCATCAAAGACATGTCATAAAGTCCATTGGAGTCTAGATCACTCCCGTGTTCACATATCATCCCTTTGAGTTTGAAATGAATAAATGCGTTTTGACTCAAATGCTTTTTTTTTTTTTCCCTTTTCCTTTTAGTAATGTTAATTCTTAAGCTAATTGATTTATACTTATGTTTAGTTATGTTGAACTCACTGGACCTCAGTTCCTTTTTATAGAAAAATCAATGCATAATCCCAATAGATTGTTGTTATAGTATTTAAAACAACAAGGTAATTAATTTTTACATATATTGTAAATTAAGCAACGTTTAATAATTATTACTATTAATTTTATATTTAATATGTAAATAAATAATAAAAATTAATAATATATTTAAAAAACATAAATATCTTTTAATTTAAAAATTTACAATCATAAATATTAAGAGAGTATAGAATATCTTTTCAAAGTTTTCAAGTATATGGTGTCATAACAAACACCAACTATTGTGTATGCATTATAATTTGAATAATAGATATCACTATTTTAAAACAATAGACATGTAAAGTGAGACAATAAATATTTATTTATTTTTAATTTAAAATTAATTATATTTATAAAATACTTAAATTTAAATTAACGGTTTATGGATTTGACTTTTTATTTTATACATTATTTCATTTTTGAAGATTTAAAATCTTAAATTTTATACTAGGAAAATGGGAAACAATAATTTTTTAAAAAATATTAGCTAGGCTTGGTGTGTGAGGTTTTAGAATACCGCCTGAGGAAAAAGGATTCTCCGTTATACATGACAAGGCTTGAGCAAGCTTAAATATTTTAATATGTTTCTTCGTTATACTATTCATTTTTGGGTGACATGCCATTGCTATTTTTACTAAACGTAATACAGATTTCCACAAATCCCGTAAGCAGTCATCATCTTTTATCATAGCGTCATTTATTGCTTTAGACAAAGTCTTAATACACTTCCATCTTTTAGTTTCTTTTATTTAATATAATGATTAAGAAAACATATTTCTACATGAAAATTGCTTATCGGTTTCTCAAAATACTAGTTAAAAATTTAAAATATTTATTTATTAAATATATTTAAAAATACCCACCGACATGATTGATTCTTAATATATTCAAATATAACTTTTAATAAAAAATATTTCTTAATTTTTTAAATAATATCTTAAAAATACTAATTAACAAGATGCTTATTGTATAATTATTCAAGTTCAATTCCTGCATCGATCAATGGAGTTCTGGTAACTGCAACCTGTTCTAAAATTCGGTTCTAAATTTTTAACCACTAATTATTTTATATACTACTATTATATTCATACTTCCAAGTTATATAGCATTTTACATGCTATATAAGCTATTAAAAATGCGGTCAAATACTCTTTAGAACTGTGACAGGGAAAGATAAAACGCTATTAAATTAACCTGCCTCTAAGATAAACAAGTCAACATATAACGTCATTGAATTATCTAATAAATTAAAATCGTACCGTGCTCTAATTTAAGCTTAAGGTCACCACTCTTAAACTTATTTATGCAAATCACTCTATTTATTTTATCAATAAAAGGTCGATATAATTGGAAAAAATTGACAGTTATGATTTTTTTAATATATTATAAATATCATTGTCTATTAATATAAAATCGATAATAATAATTATTACGCGTGAGAAGACGTAAAATACTCTTTTAATTTATAAGACACAGTAAAAAAAATATGAGAGATCGTTTTTACACTTAAAAATAATTAATTTCTGACAATCTATTAGAGTTATCTTTATTTAAAATTAAGAGAAGAAAAGAAAAAGACCATTTTATATTTTGGGCGGTTACATGAACTTGATAACTTTAGTAGAAGTGGAATGGGGTTCATACGTCATGATTTTAATTCTTAAATGTCCAAACATCGAAGTGAGACTGCGTGTACTTAGATATATACACAGCAGATTTGACATCCAACCTCGTGGCATTGTCTTAGTGATAGCAAAAGGAGTTGGGTTATTCGATTATAGACACATATATGCTTGTATCATAGAAACCAATTGTATTTACCCCAATAATTTTCAAGTAGGATAAAGAGTTAGAATCTCTCTATTTACCTTTCTTCTTCAGGAGTTTGATAAAATAATAACTATTAGGGGTGTTTAAAACTTTTTTAAACCGTTAAATCGATTAAAAATGTTAAATAGATTATCAACCAAAATATCAAAAACTGATAAAAGAGTCATAATTAGTAATGTAATACTTTCTTTTACATTTGAACTTTCCTCAAAGCCTTATTTGTTGGCGAAATATCACGCACATAAAAGGTGTATTCAGAAATATAATGTAATTAAATATTTATTTATTAATTTTGTATATGAGAATTTATGGTATAAATTTAGCCATATATAAATTCTTTTAAACAAATTAAAAATTATTAAAAAATACATATGAGAAATATACGTTATTTTTAACGCTCCCATAATAGTCTTATGGCTCCATTAGGAAATTGTTCAAAGCTTCCTACGTCAAAAAATAATATTTATCTGAAAAAAAATAAATATTTTCACATATATGATCAAATGTTGAAAGATATCGGAAGAAACTTTCTTTCCACATTACCCTTTTCTGAAGCTCTATTTGACACGTCTACCTTCTCCCTGAAAAGAATATTCGTGAATAGGGTTCTTATTTAATGCATGGATGGTCCGTGAACGGTTAACTCACTTAATTTTTCTTTATAAATATTTGCATCCTAGTTCTATATTTTCAAGCAGTATATAGGAAGAGCTAGATAGCATGAACTAAGCCTCTTACAAAGTGTTTGGAATAGTTAATTAACTTTTCATGTTAGTAATAGTCAAATAGAAGAATGAATACAAGTTCTTGAGCGAAATTAAACTATACCATTAAGTTGACAACATTTTTACATTTTGATAATTCAAATATATTAATACGGAGTACAAAGTTTATATGCATCAAACTAAGATGAATGAAATGAGAACCTGATACATCTAAACTTGAACCATTGAGCTCCTAAGCAAAAGTAATTGAAGGAAACCTGAAACGTTTACCAGAATTTGAGCAGAAACTATAGAAATTAACAGGTGACACATCCATATTCGACCACACTTTTTTCATCAACATAATGTAATTTCAGTAACCTTCAGCCTAAAAGTAATTGCACACTGCCATAACGTATATAATTGTCGGTGTGTAGTAATTAGAGGAGTTCATTTTTTGTTGACTATGAGAGTAATTATTATGCCTAACATAGAACGAGCAATGATCGGACAATATTTTCAGGACTAATTTCAAATTATTATAAGATATTCTACGTCATTTTAAAAATATTAGATATTCTAAGTTTTAATGGTTCTTGTCAGAAAAGATTTTACAATTTTTATGAAATGTTATCTGTATTTATCCTTATCAAACAAAAAAGTAAAAGCCAATATGAAAAGGAGAAAATTTTTAATATTAAAATATAAAAATATTAACTTCAATCTTTAAAAGTTGAATTCAGGTTTATTACAACCCGTGTACTCCAACCCATTTTATATATTTAGACGTCAGTGCAGCTTGTTACACTGAATTTGTAACTTGCCTTTTACATTATTCCGTGACAAACATGTACTACGTGGGATATTCAAATTGTTGATTCTAAAGTCCTCTTACATAAAGGACCTGTTTCAATACTAAAGTACTTAGGATTTGTGAAAGTGTGAATGAGGATAGCTAGAACTTGATGGAAAGGTGGCTTTGAATATGTAAGATAGATTCTATTGAGGAAAAACTTAATAAGTAGGTTATCCAATGATCCGAAAAATTATGGTCGGTGTTGGTAACTCCCTCTCCCCTTTCCCTTTTTTTTTCACCATCACCCTTTTTGTCCTTTGTGTAAATAGGGAATGCATCATTGTTCACACACATCTTGGATATTTTGATTCGATTTTCTCAATACAAGCCACTAGCTTTTTTTGTATTTACCACTTGCCTTGGATATAAATAAAATTTACCAATCTCAAAGGTTTAAAGTAATGGTCAAAATGGTAAAAGAAGAGTACACATGAATGACACCAAATGTGGACAAAATAAAAGGGGAACTAGCTAGGAATTTGGCAAGCAAGTGCATGTGATGATATGCATGGAAAGTTGGGTCGCAGTAAAGAAGGAAGAAAAAATTATCTAAGAAAATTAATAATAAAAGGGGAACATTCCAAAGGGTTGGTCAAGAAACCGTGCAATTATTTATTAGTGGTGACGCTATGCAAACACAGGGGCTTACAGTGGCTCTGCCTCTGCACCCCAACCCTTTCTCTGTGCCCTGTTTATAATAAACGAGAGGAGGGTAAGGGGTGGTGAGGTTGGCTTAAAACTCGAACGTTTTGCTGCCATCTTTTCCCTGAATTTGTCCCTGCTTTCTGCTTTGCAAAATTGTTTTTTAATTTGTTTTGTGTGAAACAGAAAGAAAACACTATTTCTTTTTCTCCTCTCACACGGGTCTCTTGCTAGTGTTTGTTGTTTGTGCCTTTAATGTATGTCAAGGGAGGTTTGAGTGTTGAGTGGCACATTTTTTGGTTCGATTTTGAGAATGGTTTTTAAATATTGATTTGAAATGGCAATTGTAGGTAATATTAGGTTCATGTTGTCTCTATAATGATGTTGTTACAACAATTTTGGTTATGTGAATTTATTTATTCTGAGTAATACTCAGAATCGTGATATAACTGTAATTATAATTAAGAAGATTACCCGTGCAAATGCACATATAAATTATTACG